CTGAGGAAGGGCCCAACTGACGGTGGCTACTCTGTCTGGCATTATTCAGTCGCCTCTGGCTAGGAGGGAAGGGATTTACTTCAGGAGGTGATCAATGACTTTACTCTCCTGCCCTCATGTTCCTTGAGGCATACTGTAGCTTGGAATGCAAGGACACATCTCATTCATCCACCCCCATGCCCTAGTCTGAGACTAACCAGACCATCTAATACTTTTTCCTTTGACATTTCTTTAGAGTAGTAAAAATAGCTAAAATCGCATATAATGCCCTGCACAGACACTTAGACTGCAACTCTTTACTGCCCATGGGTCCCGTCCCCATGCTGAACACAAAATAGAGGTGCACAAAGGAATGAGCGGCTCGTGTCTGAAAATTCTTTTTCGACCTGCGACTCAGCAGCCCTATCACAACTACTGGGAACTTCTCCCCAGGCCTGCTCAGCAGAGGCCAGCCTGGCCTTCCCCCAGGCAGGCTTGCCACAGCCCCGTCCTCCAAGACACCTCCAGGAGATGTGCTCTGAACGTGAGAACCTGTGGTGAGCAGGAAATGGCTGAAATTAACAAGTAATGATGAAGACAAGCAGCAGGGACCCACTTTACACCTGTTCACAGGTGGGCTATGGTGGGACTGTCCAGAAGGCCAGACTAGGATGGGACCGAGGTCAGGCCCACTCCAGGCCTGGCCACCACTTCCCCACACCACCCCATCTTGGGAGAGGGCTGTTCCAGGGTACCAGAACCCCACAACACAGGAACTCAGACATCTGGGCCCAGAGGAGGCTGTAGCTGATGATAAAACAAGTGCTTACAGCACAAGAAGAAACTATTCAGGTGAAAAAGGGTCGCCCAAATTGAGCTTCAGTGTGGCTTTTCCCCTGGTAGAAGAGAACAGGCTGCCCACAGAGAAGAAGGATTCAGGCAGTCATGTCAATGTATATACACTCAAAGGCTGCTGTTTCTGTCAGCTTTGTGAATTTAGTTAGACCAAGTCAGCCCCTCAAGCAGGGGTCTCCAAACTGGGGCTGTGAGCACCATGTAGTGTCCCTCCCAGAGGGCCCAAGGTCATCCACTGAGCTTAGAGAGAAAACATTGGAACTTCCACTATATATTCATTTAAAAATAAGCTTTATTAATATCTACTGAGCTCATTAGAATCTATGAAATCAGTGGTCCTACAGCCCACCATTATTTTGTCATACTACAAAGGAAACTGCTGCCGATGGATGACTGACTATAACCTGGGATTTTTATTATATACTTATCAAAAGACCTTTTTTAGACTTGGTCTAAAAGTCTAATATAGCAGACTTTTTTTTTCTAAAATAGCAGAGATTTTTATCACATATATCAGTCTTGTGCATATGTGAAAAGGAAGATATAAGCGAAATCAAGTTTGCTCAAGATATGCCTCAGCATGGCAACTGTGCTACCAGCACCGACTGGAGAACATGCTGAAATATTTGTACTGATGGAGTGGGAGACTTAAATAAAAAAGTTTGGAAACCACTCTGGATGAGGATAGCATCATGTTTCAATATGAGATCCAGAACCAGCATTCCCAAAATTCTCTAATTTGTAGATACCTCTGGATGCCCTTGGGAGCCAGATGGCCTCCTCCCCTGCCATGACATCCAGAGGAGTTCACCCACTGGGGCAGCCCTTATCATAAAAGAATGTCCCGCGAGGGCTTGACAAAGGCTCTGCTCTCTGCTGACAGCATCCCCACAGCTCTGACAGGCTGAGGCCAGGACTTGGCAGGGCCATACTTGCCACAAGCCCATAGGCTGGCTCTGGCCCACAGATGGTGGCTTGGTTGATTGGTTTGTGCTAGAAATGCATTTTTTAAAATTGAATTTGAACAGTGAGGCTTGACCTGCCCTCAATCTGACATTTATATTATCTGTTTATCTCTGAAGGCATTTGAGTTTGCTCCTTCACTGTGTCATTATTTAGACTCTAAATTTTAGTACATTAAACCAGTTCTTGATGCTATTGAAATACCTAATTCTTCGGGGTTACATGTAGGAAGAACTACCCTCTTGGTATAATGAGAGCTTGGCCCGGCTCAAGCACTGAACAAAGGTCCCTGCTAGCTTGAAGCTTGTCATTCTTTTTTTTTTTTTTTTTAACCCTAATTAACTTAATGCCCATCAAATAGTGGGTATTGTTCACAATCTAAAAAACACATTTCAGTAAATTTGCATATAAATGCTAGATTATGAAGTAATTCTTTCTAACCTCACTGTATTGACTTGAATAGCATTGATGGTGATGATAATAAAGTAACAATAATTTATTTTGAGCATAATATGTAAAAGGTACAATGCCTTTTCACACTAACAAATCAATTGGCTAAATATTCAGCTCCAATTTTGCAGCTGTGGAGACCAAATCACAAACAAGTTATTTTATCTTTCTTAAAGATCATAGACATTATAACAAGTATTTCTTGGGATTTGAACAAGTATTGGGGGTTTCCCATGCTTTTTCTATTATGCCACACTGCCTCTTTAAATGTGAAATTAACAAATGTGAATGCAGAAAATGGTAGAGAGAACGATAGTTACCCGTCTAAAGCATACTGTTTTTAGGACACTAAAAATGGATTCTTTCAATTATAATATAATAATAGGTCATGGTTTAGATGGTGCTTCTTCTTTGGAGCTGTATTTGGAACTAAGGGGTCAAAGGTCATCCATTCAATATTTATTTAGAATTATTATGCACAAAGCATTACTTAGGGTCATGGGACAGAAAAATTACATAACAGCTCACACCAACAAACAAGATTATTTTGCATAAATTGTATCCTTCAACATCTGTTTGAGGGCAGAGGGCAGGTCATCCTCATTTTACATGAGGAGACTGGGGAGCACATAGTGTTCTTCTGAATCAGAATGGAAAGACATGCCCTCGAAAAGACATTATATTTGGGATTAAGAAAGCTCGTTATTCTCAGACCCGCAGAGCCTCAGAGCAGAGAGGTCCCTGGGAGATCCTTTTGCCTTTGGGTCCCTGGTGGAGCCAGAGGGTTGTGATTTTGTGGCATGTTATCCTCTATTTGTGATCTCCCATCCATATGTATCTTTCACATCATTACAATTATATTGTGAACATAGTTTTTCATTCTATATTCCATATACTCTTCAAAATCATCATAATATCCCATTAAAGAATTTAAAACATTTACTCTGCTGTTAGATTTAGAACATGGCCAAAATGTCAATATTCTAAATAACACTATCAAAAATATCTTCTTTATTTTATATTGATAATTATTAAAAATCAGATCCTGAACCCTTGTGCATTGTTGGTGGGAATGTAAGTTGGTGTAGCCACTACGGAAACCAGCATGGAGGTTCCTCAAAAAATTAAAAATAGAATTTCCTTATGATACAGCAATTCCACTTCTGGGTATTGATCCAAAGGAAGTGAAAATATTAACTTGAAAAAATATATGCATGTTCATGTTCATTGCATATTATTTACCATAGCCAAGACATGGAAGCAACCTAAGCGTATATTGATGCATGAATGGATAAAGAAAATGTGATACACACACACACACACACACACACACACACACACACAGGAATAGTATTCAGCCATAAAAAAGATGGAAATATTGCCATTTGTGACAACCTGGATGGACCTTGAGGGCATTATGCTAAGTGAAATAGACAGAGAAAGACAAATACCATATAATCTCACTTATATGTAGATTCTGAAGAACAAAAAACAAACTCATAGATACACAGAAGAGATTGGTGGTTGCCAAAGATGAGGAGTGGGGGGCGAGTGAAATGGGTGAAGGTGGTCAAAAGGTATAAACTTCCAGTTATAAAATAAATAAGTCCCAGGGACATAATGTACAGCATGGTGACTATAGTTAATAATACTGTATTGAATGTTTGAAAGTTGCTAAGAGAGTAGATCTTAAAAGTTCTTACCACAAGAAAAAAAATTTATAACTATGTATGGTGATGGATGTTAAGTATATTTATTTGGTGATCATTCTGCAATATATACATATATCGAATCATTATGTTGTATACCTGAAACTAACATATGTCACTTATATCTCAACTTAAAAAAAAGTGTTTGACATGGTTCAGGAATGTGCTTATGTACTCTGTAAATGGTAGTCACAGATTAACAGTAATTACATATTAATTATCATTCTATCAATGTTTATATCAATATACTATAGCATATTAATTTGCAATATTTTTTATAGTTTTTTTAACTTTTTTTTTTGAGGAAGATTGGCCCTGAGCTAACATCTGTTGCCAATCTTCCTTCTTTTTTCTCTTTTTCTCCCCAGTGCCCCAGTAGATAGGTGTATGCCATAGTTGTACATCCTTCTAGTTGCTCTATGTGGGATGCCACCTCAGCATGGCTTGATGAGCGATGAATAGGTCCGCACCCAGGATCCAAACCTGCGAACCCTAGGCTGCCGAAGTGGAGCGCGCAAACTTAACCGCTAGACCACCAGGCTGGCTCCTTTGCACTATTTTTAAATAATTAAACGTTATGATAAAATATTATATTGTTTCTAAATTAACAACTAGCCTCTTGTGAGTATGTTTTAAGAAAAAAGAAGAATTGGACCTCATTTACTAGCTGTAGAAGTTAACTACTCTCAGCCTCAGTGTCCTCAAATATCAAAGGTACAATAACACATATTTCATAGGCTTGTTATAAGAATTGAATGGGATAAAGTATACAAAGTGTCTGAAATATACTAAGAGCTAACAAAGACAGTTATCATCATCATCATTGTCATCCTTACGTCATCATAACCTTCATCAGCACAGCTGCCACCATCATCATCATCACTCTCACGTCATCATAACCTTCATCAGCACAGCTGCCACCATCATCATCACTCTCATGTCATCATAACCACCTATCAGCACAGCTGCCATCACCATCATTGTCATCCTCACGTCATCATAAACCTTAATCAGCACAGCTGCCACCATCATCATCATCATCTCTCATGTCATCATAACCTTCATCAGCACAGCTTCCACCATCATCATCATCATTCTCATGTCATCATAACCACCTATCAGCACAGCTGCTATCATCATCATCGTCATCCTCATATCATCATAAACGTTCATGAGCACAGCTGCCATCATCATCATCACTCTCATGTCATCATAACTACCTATCAGCACAGCTGCCATCATCATCATCATCCTCACATCATCATGAACCTTCATCAGCACAGCTGCCATCATCATCGTCGTCGTCGTCACCCTTACGTCATCATGACCACTGTCAGCAGAGACACCACCATCGTCACCTGCCCTGAAGCAGGATCAATGGGTCAAAGAGTACAAAGGTGTTACTGCCCTTTCTGCACCTGACAAATTACTCTGAAAGATGACTGCAAAGTTGAGCAAAACAAAGATGTTTTTGGAGCCATTGTCACTGTCCTTGGCAGACAGCAGTCCCAGCCTTGGACATTTCCAAGGATGTAAAATAATGAGCAGATATGCTGGAACCCAGTTCCAGCATGTCCTGCTACTTCTGAATCCATGCTGGCCTTGCACAGGAGACTGGAAATGATCACAGCTAGCCCCTTCCCCACATTACCACTGGGGGAGCCAATGGCAGATGGGAAATGACCTCACCTCTAGGACTACACATGTACCACCTGCAGTTCTCATGCCTGTTCCCTAATTTGTGTCCTCTTCTCTGGGGCGTAGAAGGAGCAGCTAGTGAATCAGGGGCATAGGCCCAGCAAATGGAGAGCCCAGTAGGAGAGGGAGGGCTTCAGAAAATGTGGTCCACGTGAGGGAGCCAGGGAAAGGTGCAACATGTTGTACTATAATCACACTTCCCCCTACTGGCACTGCTGGCACCCTGCAGAGCTGGCTGAGGTGGGCAGGGCAGGAAGTGGGCTGAAGGCCTGCACCTTCATTAAGAATGTCCCTTGACTGTTCATCCTACCCCAGGTTGCACAAGGAGGGAGATCGGGGCAGGAAGGAGGATTTAAAGCTGAGCATTCATTGTGTGCTCTTCTGCTACTGCCCCACCAAGAGGGTGGGGGCAGGAAGTTGGCCTGAAGGGCTGCACCCCACTGGTGCTGCCCAGCCACTGCAGTCCTGAGAGCAGACAAGTCCTGGGGTTTCAGGGTTGTGCTACCATTAAGTGTGCCTGTCACTGTGGGTTTTGTCCAGGGTTCAGTGAGGTGGAGGGAGGAACAGGAAAGTGGACTTATGGGCTCTGACTTCACACTGCAGAGCAACCCCACTCAGGGCTGACGGAGGGCTGAAGGACTGTGCTGTCATTAATTGCCCCTCACCGGAGTCCCAGCCAAGGCGTGCTGAATAGGGGAGAGGGTGCAGGACATGGGATTGAAATGCTGTGCCGCCTTTGCTTGTGCCCCTGGACCCTGCCCAAGATGATGATTCAGCAACGGAGCAAAACATCTGTTTCCTGACCCAGGAAATTCACGTTCCCTACTGAGTTTTACAAGTGAAACATTAGCCTTGAGTTGGTGACTGCTCAGAAGTTTCACGAATAAATGTTTACTCCTATCTGTTCTCTACACCCTGCTGGCCTTTACTATGTGTGGCAGGCCTGAGCCCTGGGTACAAGGGACCTTCCTTCCCTGGGAGTGTTGACGTAGCACCTGGCCATCCACGCCTGCGACCATCCTGCTCCAATGCCCTCCTCCTTTCACAGTTGAGATGGTGTGGGCGTCGTGTAGGGAAATAACTGGAGATTTGGTTGGGTAACCTGTCTGCCAGGCTCGGTTCTACTTACCAGCTTGTGTGCTCCAAAAACTGCTCACTGTAAAGGACACTTAAGGACACTATTTGGAAATCACATTAAAACTCAGCAATTGGGATACAGGAAACTTAGGAATAAAATTTAAAATGATAATAATAATACATTATGTGATTCACAAGGAATCTGACTTTCCTGGGTGATGAATCGACCCAGTTTGCTCATTTCTGTGTCACCTGGCACAGGTGGGTCTCCACGGATCGGTACGTATAAAGCAGCAACTGTCTGCGTGTGTAGACTGTGATCACAGGTCCTCTTACCACAGCGGACGGGTGACTGGCGGGGGAGGCAGTGCAGGGCCCCGAAGACGCACCTGCAGAGGAGGCAGCCACGGAAGGTCCAGGCTCCATGCACTAGGGCGCCGCATTCGCTGAACAGGTGAGACCAGGAGTTACGTCACGGCGCGCGCCCCCGCGTGCGCCCCGTCCCCCCGCTCCCCGCGCGCCCCCTTCCCCCCCACTCCACCACCCGCAGCCGGCTCAGCCCCGCGCCCACCTGTGCCTCTGGTCGTGCTCGCAGTAGCGGCCGGTGAAGTGGGCGGGGCACACGCAGAAGCTGCCCAGCACGCAGGTGCCGCCGTTCCTGCAGCAGCGCGGCCGTGGGGGCGCCCCTGTGGAGGTCGGCTGGGCGTTGGCTCCGCGACCCGCGCGCGGCCCTCTACGTTACACCCACCCCAAGAAGGCCGAACGAGATCTCCCCAGCGAGGCAATAAAATTAGCTCCCTGCTAAGTGTGTTTGCTCAGGAAAACCCTGCTTGTTAATTTAAGGGTTAAAAACAAACTAGCAGGGATGGGCGGGTCAGGAAAAAGCCCCATAACTCCACGGGAAACCCTGCCCCTGCAAGTAGGGTTTTCTTTTTTCCTTCCTTTCACCTATTAAGGTAAGGCTGTGACTTCCCGTGACAGTGATTAAAGACAGGCCTCCGGGCGGGACCACCCAGGGCTGCGATGGCGCCACCCACCCTTCCCTCTGCCCCGCCTGGGGACGTGGTGTCTGGAGCCTGGGAGTCTGAAATAAGCCAAGCAAGGGTCTGCTATTATCTTGGGTTGGGATATTTGTTTTAAATACATTTAAATCACGCTTCTCTGGCCCTGCAGAAAAATACCCATTCAATAGCAAATGCAACGTTTTACCAATGAAATAGTAAAACTTTTTTCGGAGTTAAAAGAACATCTCACTAGGAAATATTTTTTACTTTATAGTGTATCATCATTTGAAGATGATAACATGTTGTCTTGTTGGATTTCTCGTTTTATCTTCAATTTCTCCTAGGGTTTTTTCATATCCCAAACTCGGAGTCCACTGACTGAGGTGTCCGCAAGGGCTTTGTGGGCGGCACCGCGACTTACGCTCTCGGACAGCCCGGGAGTCGGGAGGTGAGTCCTGTGGCCGCCAGCGCTCCGCGCTCCGGGTCCCCTTCCTCCAGTTGTTCGAAGTCCAGCTGAGTGTCTTCTGGAGCTTCTGAGCTGTAGCATTGTTGATTTCTTCTCTACTGCCTTTCTGTTTCTCTTTTTGATAGCCTTTTAAAAACATTGAAAGTATGAGACTGATAATGATTGAGAAAGAAATATACAATAAAAACTTAGACTATAAATAAAATACTTCTTACTATTTCCCAAATGGATGATCTGTAATGCCAAACTGATCGTAAACAGGAGCCTAGAATATTTAAAGAAAATTATTGAAGTTTAAAATATAAAGAAGTATAAGCAGAAATTTACATATGTATAAAATGTAATGCAATAACATATAAATATAAGTATATACACTCATGTAGAATAAATATTATGCAATCATTTTGTAACTTGTAGATTTTGATTAATGTTGTCGATTAGAAAGATTTTGCTACCAAGAAAGTGTACACGTCTCTTCATGAGAAGAAACAATCATGCATGTATTGTAATTTATTCTGGAGGCTTTTAAATGGCCCTCTTGGCTCTAAGATCTGGATGATCTCTGTCCTTACCTAACAGGGTGGCTCCCGGTCATTTTCCCACTGGTATGAGAGTCTCCTTCTCTTATCAATACGATGAAGATCAACTTCCAAGGAAGTTAAATCTGACCGGTTTTTGTATTTTCGGGTATCTCTACTCCAGGGCTGGGAGTAACTGCGTCAGGACACAAGACTGATAAGGACGGAAGACACAAGGATTTCCTGCCCTCAGCCTCAGCCACAAGAAACAAGAATGAGAGCTCTGAGTTCTGCTGTGGAAGCCGGTTAGGCAGTGGCCTGCTGTGACAGGCAGGGCCGGTGCAGAGCCTCAAGGACTGTCCCCTCAGTGAGACCCGGCTTAGGGGCGGAGACCTGGGCTAATTCTCTCCCAACAGTGTTTATATGCTGACAGCAGCAAGAGTGGTCATCTCCTTGTGTAAAACATCAGTGACCGAGGTGACTAGCCTTTCCCTCACTGAAAACAAACAAACAAATGAAAACCCCACCATGAACAAAAAAAGTTCTCGTAGGAAAATGGACATTTTATATTGTATCCTCCTGATCCTGGGAGACGGTGAGGGGGCCCAGCTGAAGAAGGGAGCCGCTGTGTGGGACATAACCAGCAGGCCTGGGTACCAAAAGTCTTGAGTGGGGAGCGTGAACTTAAAGTGAGACCTTTCAACACCTGCTTTCTGAGGATGTATCAATATTTCCACAAACTGAGCCTTGTCTCTGTGCCCAGCATGGTGGTGAATGTGTCACAAACATTACGCATTAAGACAGTACCCTTCGAGGGAGGCACTATTGTTTACTCCTCGGGTAAAAAGTGAGGCAACTGAGGCTTAGAGTTTAAGTCCCTTGTGGCAGTTAGATCTTTGGACAACGTGAAATGCACAGATATTATGAGAAGAAGTCTGCAGGGTGTGTGCACAGTATCTGAAGACCACTGAGCACAGGAGTGACTGCCCCTCACCATTGTCTGATGAGCCTGCTCTGAATCCCAGAAGGGAGTGATTTGGGGTCCTCTTCTGGGACTTTCTAAGTTTCAGTTTTTCTAATTGCCAAAACAGGGACGAGGGTCCTTTTTTCAGCATTAAAGAGGACACCTTGTAACCCTGGTGCAAATTGTTCTGTGATTTTGATACAAAAACTGCTTTCTAAAAATAGCATGCTTCGTCCAAGGATGAAATAGTCTTTGCTCCTGATTTAAATTTTTAAACCTTTAAATGTGAGGTTCATTAGAGGCTGTTAAATAAGCCCATAGAGAATAGGTGAGCCTGGCTGCCTCACAGGCACCCAAGGACCAGTTCTGTGAGCTGCCAGGACCAGGTCGGGACCAGCAGACCTGAGTGGGCAAAACCTGCGGAAGGGGCCGCCTCATGCCTTCAGGGAATGTCTGTAACTGAAGTCATGACAGGTACACTTTTAAGCCCGAAAGTGTTTGGTTATTGTTAATTTCATAATTAGGTTATATATAAGAGTAAGTATATTTTATGACTTTCAATCAACAGAAACTTCTATATGAGCAAAATGGCGTGTACACTAAAATAAAACCACGTATAAGCTAAAGGGTTATATTTCTTTGAATAAGAAGTTTTAACAGTGTTCAGTTCATAGGATGATATTGAATCCAAACCTTTCTGATATTAAGGTTTTAAAAGTAGTATCTAAAATCTAACTTTCCCCCACAGTTTCTTTTATTAAATTTTGTATTGTGGACATTTTCCAACATACACGAAAGCTAGGACAATGATCCAATAAACTCAGGTTCAACAATTAAGTATCAACCTTTGCCAATCTTATTTATTTTCTCCTACACTTTTTTTTCTGGGATTAAAACAAATCTCAGACATCATAATATTTCCTACGTCAAATATGATTTTGAAAATATGCACTTTATAAATGGAAACTGTAGAAAAAAGAAAGGAAATGTCTTCAGAGCAAGACAAGATTGAGAGGCTAGAAATAGGGATGGAATGTCCCATCTCTGGCTGTTTGCTTAAGATCTAAAGTCAGCTCTGAGGAGGGAAAGGGCTAATGGCCTGGGGTGAGAAAGCTGCTCTGACCTATTTTTCAGCATCCTGTCACTTGCTCTCATTTACTTAAAGGTCTTATAAAAAGAGTTTTGCATTTCGCTGCAGAGGAGACCAGGTTTGCTTGGTTAACAAGGTCCAGCTGGAAGGGGTTGCCTGGGTCTGCTGGAGGCTGCGTGGTGAGCAGGCAGACCCCCTGCTCTGGGGAAGGTCCTCTTTCTTGTTATCAGTTGTAAACAGATAAGGCTGGAGCCCACCCACCCACCAGACCTCTAGTGGAACTTCTGACTCATTTTGAGCTGACATAAAGTGGGTGGGAATTGGGACACCCTGCCTCAAGATTGGAGATCACCCCGCCTCTGTGTCCTCAGTGCATCAAACAGCCACTGAGGAAAATGTTCTGCAACAAATTAGGTGTGAAGGAATCGTCTGGGTGACTTTAAAGCAGTGGTTGTTAATGTGTGCTGCTCACTGGGGTCTCTGGGGAAGCTCTTAAAATGTGCTTAAGCAACACTGCAGGCCCTCTGCTCAGAATCCCTGGGGCAAGGCCAGCATCAGGGTTTTTTTTAACCAGCCCAGGCCATTCTGTCACTGACTAGTGCCCCGAGGAACTCAAGGGTGAGTTTGAAAGCATTTAACTGTTTTTCGAAGTTCTTGCTTTATGTTAAGGAGACACAACCAGCAACCATCCTGAAGCTAACCAAACCTCCCTACAAGAGCTATGCCCATGACTTTGCCTTATTTATTTATTTATTTTTTGTGAGGAAGATCAGCCCTGAGCTAACATCCGTGCTATTCCTCCTCTTTTTGCTGAGGAAGACTGGCTCTGAGCTAACATCTATTGCCAATCCTCCTCCTTTTTTTCCCCCAAAGCCCCAGTAGATAGCTGTATGTCATAGTTGCACATTCCTCTGGTTCCTGGATGTGGGACGTGGCCTTAGCATGGCCAGACAAGTGGTGCGTCGGTGCACGCCCGGGATCCGAACCTGGGCCGCCAGGAGAGGAGCGTGCGCACTTAACCACTAAGCCATGGGGCCGGCCCAACTTTGCCTTATTTTTAATGTGAAGATCTCTTCAGGAAGAGATTAAGCCTCATTACCATAATCTGCAGTGTACCCACCTCTCCCTTTTGAATATTCATTCCCCAACCAAAATAAAAGTTTCTGCTTCTCTTTGTTCGGGGATAGCATGACTTTGGAAATGATTCCTCATGGCCTCCTATTTGCTGCAAATACACTTTCCCTTGTGAGACAACTTCCACTGGTGCAGAGTCTCATTTAACTCACCAGGCCACAAGCCCACTTGGTTCGGTGTCAGTTCCAGTGTGCAGCTGAGACTGTGACTCTGGGTCCACGTCGTGCTTGGCTGTGTGCTCCTGAGGATGGAAATACTTCTTTCACATCTTTGCATCCCTTTTAGGACAGTGCCAGAGGCAAGATGCCACACAATAAAGTGTTGTTTGTGTTGATGGGGTTCAGGGCAGGCCACCCCAAGATGTGCCACTCTGGTATGTGGATTATTTCGAGCTGAAGACAGAAAAGGCTCAGAAGAATCAGGAAGGACATTCGACCTTCCCCCAAACTGCCTAAAAGAATTTAACAGAAGGCCTGTTTCAGGAAGGAGCCACTCCCATATGATGGTGGTAATACAATGTAAAATAGGTGTGATAAGAAAGGCACCAACAAGCCCATCTTATTGAAATTTGGTCTCTTGGGCCACATTCTCTGTAGGTGGCCCAGTAAAGAGTTGCCTGACAAACATTTGTATTTCCATCTCCATGTGAATTGTCTTCCTCCTCTCTGAAATCCCAAACCACCACCCCAACACCCTCCTTGTCTTTAGCTGAAGAAGCTTAAGTGAGCAGCTTAATCAGATGGCTGAGTTACTCAGTTTCCCTGGGTCTCTCCCTTGCGTACGTGTTATTAAACTTCATTTTATTTTCTCCTGCTAACCTGCCTTTTTAATTATTTGGCCAGCCATAAGAACCTTAAGGGGGGGAGGGATTCTCCCTCTTCCCCAACAGTATGAACAAAAGAATAAATGGATTATCATACTTATACCCACTTTTCAGTGAGGATATTGAGATCTAAGATGTTGAGAAACCAGCTTGGGGATATATGACTAAAAACAGCTGTATGGAGAGGCTGGCCCCGTGGCATAGCGGTTAAGTGCATGTGCTCCGCTGCTGGCAGCCCAAGTTCAAATCATGGGTGCTCACTGATGCACCCCTTGTCAGGCCATGCTGTGGCGGCATCCCATATAAAGTGGAGGAAGATGGGCACGGATGTTAGCCCAGGGCCAGTCTCCCTCAGCAAAAAGAGGAGGATTGGCATGGATGTTAGCTCAGGGCTGATCTTCCTCACATACACACAAAAATAAAATAAAAACAGCTGTATGGAGATCTGAACCCAGGTTCATCTGATCTAAAAGCTGTGTTTGATTCAAGTTGCTTTAAAATTATTGAATATGTAATGTAGACTAGGCATACTATACTCACTGAGTTACATAGATTGTTTTATTTTATTATCATCACATCCTTGTGACATAGGTATTCATTTCTCCATTTCACAGGTGAGAAACGTGAGGTTCAAGAGTTGAGGACTTGCACGGCCCTCACAGCAGTGACCCGGCGGCTGGAAGCTGAGCTGCTGCTCCCAACCGTTCCCATGTGCTGCTGTCACCTGCAGCGGCCGAGGGCTTCCCTGGGGCACGGTGGGGAAGATGATACGGAGAGGCAGTGCCCCAGCCCTGCAGTAAGGGAGGGACTGGAAAGCAGACAGCGTTTCTGGAGATGGGACAGTGACAGGGCAGTTACGGGAGGGGGCTCTGGGGGCAGTGCTGACAGCACCGACTGTGGGAGGAGGGGAGGTCTCATGGGAATGGCAGCAGGCAGGGAGGTTTCTCGGGAGGGCGGAAGGGCCGGAGGGGAAGGCGTGAGTGGAGATGGGTGGTGCAGGGGGAGCTGTAGCATAGAAGGCCAGAGGGTGGGGGCCTCCTGGACGCTCTTGCAGGAGGGCATGCAG